AACCGGGTTTGATTCCCCACTCCTCCACTCGCAGCTGCTGGATGACCTTAGGCAAGCCATAGTTCTGTCAGAGCTGTTCTTGAAAAAGAGCAGTTTCTGTCAGAGCTCTCTCAGCCCCACCTACCTCACAGGGTGTCTGTTGTGGGGAGGGGAAGGGAAAGGAGTTTGTAAGCCGCTCCGAGACTCCTTTGGGTAGTGAAGTGTAGGGTATAAATCCAATCTCTTCTTCTTCTTTGATCTTGACCCTTTGCAGGCCTTCTGTTTCATCTTATATAGGACTTTTCTTCTCTCTCTTACCCGGGCTTGTAGCAAGTTAACCTTTTTGAAGTTGATCTGCTCACAATAAGTTAAATGTCACTACACGAATACATAAGATGTGCTCCAATTTTTGTAAGCAAAAATTTCTTTGGCTTGTTACCATTGGAGTCAGATCATCTTTGTAATTGGTTTGAACAGCATTTTTCCCTTAACCAGGAAACGTGAAGAATTGGGGATACCGCGTAAGGTTTCTGTGCTTCCAAAGCAAATGATGATTCTTTTACGTTTAACCCAACAGAATATTGGTCAGACTCACTGGCCAAATCAGGACATGTTTTAAAGATGTCAGTGCACTTGCCTGCCGAGAATGGGATAAATTCGTCTCGAATGATAAATTTGCCATCGTTGTCCAAGAAGTGGTTAGGGTTGAACTTTTCAGGGGTCTCCCACTTTGTGGCATCAAGGAGGACCGAACATAGATCTGTGATTACAAGGGTATCCTGTGAGGAAGAGAAAAATAGGCTCACTCAGATATCGGTGGGAAGACCAGATGTGCCTGTGGTTGCAAAGGTAAAAGGGCTATGAATTCATCCCAAGGCGTATGGTATATAGCTCTGGTGTTCATGTTGAGACGCCAGTGTGCTCACACTTAGCGTTGGCCAACTCTGGTTTGGAAAATTTCTGAAGATTTGGGGTGGGACCTGGGGAAGGCATGGTTTGGAGAGAGGAGGGATATCAGAGGGGTTTGCCCTCCAAAGCAGCCATTTTCTCCAAGGGAACTGATCTCTGCCGTCGGGAGATTAGCTGTAAATCTGAGAGGTCTCCAGGCACCACTCAGAGGTTGAGGAATTTCAAAAACAACTTCCATGACAAAAATAATGAAGCGTCAGTAAAGATAAGTTGCAAAAACGTTTACTGTAGTAATTTCTACAGAATACTACAGAATACTGCTAACGAATACTGCGCAATGAACAATTCGTTTCACAATATTTGCTTTATCTGAGCATGTAACAATCCCAATTCTTATCAATTACTGCTTATCTCATAGACAGAATACGCAGAGCACAAACAGATCAGACATCCCTATCCAAATTCAAAACAATTTGGTTTCCAATATTCTCTTACCTTTCAACGCATGATATACTCCCAACCAATGCATATTATCACGTGGCTAGTGATGTGAAATTTACTATGGGAATGTCGGCTAACAGGTGATGAAATACCTGTTACTTTCCTAACTCATTAGGATAATGATTTTATGCTTAATAGAGGATCTTTTTGTAAAATTGTTAGGTTGTATAAAGCACATTGACATAGTTTCAGAATACTGTATTCTGAGGTACTTTTAACAATTTGAAGCTTTTCTGATATTAATTTCTGTATTGACAAATTGAAACAATAAGGTATTTAATTATAAAAAAATCACTGCTTATTAACTCTTGAAGGAAACATTCCATGTTGACTCTCTAATAACAGAACCCAAGGTCTTCACAATGTTAGCGTGCGAGCGATAACAGAAGAAAAATTTCTACAGAAATTACTACAGTAAAGGTTTTTGCAACTTATCTTTATTGACTCTTTGTTATTTTTGTCATGGACGTTGTTTTCGGAATTCCACTTCCTCCCGTGATCTCTCATTTTTGGCTTCTACCACCCAGAGGTTGGCTAACTATAAATACTTTCACTGCTACCCACCTGGTGTGCTCTGTTCTGGGTAGAAAGGCATAGTAAATACTTGAAAATTCATGGTTCAAATAAAATGAAAAATCGGGAGATAGGATTGGACAGGAGAGTATTCCCTGACAATGAAGTGAATAGTGTATAAAAGGTAAAGGTAAAGGTTCCCTTGCTCGAAACCCAGTCGAATCCGACTCTAGGGTTGCGGTGCTCATCTCCGTTTCAAAGCCGAAGAGCCAGCGCTGTCCGAAGACGTTCCCGTGGTCATGTGGCCGGCATGACTAAACACCAAGGCGCACGGAACGCTGTTACCTTCCCACCGAAGTGGTACCTATTTATCTACTTGCAATTTCTTGCTTTCAAACTGCTAGGTTGGCAGGAGCTGGAACTAGAGACGGGAGCTCACTCCATCATGCGGCGCCCAGGTTTTGAACTGCTGAACTACCGACCTTCCACAGCCTGCAGCTCAGCATCTTAACCACTTGAGCCACCGCAGCTCCATGAATAGTGTATACACTTGTGTTTTATGTGTGCATCAGTCATGAAGTGGGACTTAGTGGCCATACATTCATTATAATTGTCCATGTTTTGCTAGGTTTTCTGCTCCTGTGGCCCTCTCAGTGTGGCCTTTTTTGTATTTGCTTTAACCCCTGTGCTTAATTGGGGATTTTTCCCTCTGAGGGGGCGGGACTAGTCCTCTTCCTGCTTGGAGCTCCATGGACATTCAGGACTCAGGACTGGTCCTTGCTCGTTTTGGAGGGGAAAGGGTAGCCAATCCTGAGTAGGGGGAGGGCTCAGAGGCAGATGCAGAGTATCTGCTCGGCATGCAGAAGGTCCCAGGTGCACTCCCTGGCATCTCCAGTTCAAAGGACCAGGTAGTAGGTGATGTCTGGGACTATGTCTGCGAGAATTGGACCATAAGGAAGGCCGAGCGCTGAACAATAGACTCTTTTGAATTATGGTGCTGAAGAAGACTCTTGAGAGTCCCTTGGAGTGCAAGGCGATCCAATCAGTCAATCCTAAAAGGAATCAACCCTGACTGTCCCCTGGAAGGCCAGAGACTGAAGCTGAAGCTCAAATACTTTGGCCGCCAAGTGAGAAGGGAGCACTCACTGGAGAAGACCCTGATGCGATGGCAAACCTAGACAACATAATAAAAAGTAGAGACAACACCCTGCCAACAGAAGTCCCTATGGTCAGAACAATGGTATTCCTAGTAGTAATGTATGGCTGCAAGAGATGGACTATAAGGATGGCCGAGCGCTGAAGAATAGATTATTTTGAATTATGGTGCTATAGAAGACTCTTGAGAGTCCCTTGGACTGCAAGAAGAACAAATCAGTCAATCCTAAAAGAAATCAACCCTGACTGTTCCCTGGAAGGCCAGATACTGAAGCTCAAATACTTTGGCCACCAAATGAGAAGGGAGTGCTCACTGGAGAAGACCCTGATGCTGGGAAAGACTAAAGGTCAAAGAAGATGGGAACGGCAAAGGATGAGATGGTCAAACAGTCTTATCAATGCAACGAACATGAAATTGAGCAAACTCAGGAGCATGACGGAAGACAGGAGGGCCTGGCGTGATGTGGTCCATGGGGTCGCGAAGAGTCGGACTCGACTGTGCGACTGAATGACAGCAAGTAGGTGATGTGAAAGACCTCTCTGCCTGAGACCCTGTAAAGTACTGGGTTAACAGACCCTGAGACCCAGTCTGAGTAGACAATACTATCCTTGACGGACCCCAAGGGTCTGATTCAATAGAAGGCAGCTTCATGTGCTCGTGTGTATTCAAGGGGGCAGGGATCTGGAAGGAATCTGAAAAACCCTTCCCCTCCAAAACTGTGTTCCTTTGGATCGGTCAATAGGGAGGCTCCTGCCGGGGGAAAGCATGCCATCATGGGAGGGAAGCATGGGAGATGCCCAGGGTTGCTCAGTGCCCACTCCAGGTTGGGTGTGAAGCCTGGGGACAGCAGGTGATGGGGAGGGGAGAGACCTCAGCAGGGTGTACCGCCAGACCGCCCACTCTCCAAAGCAGCCAAAGAAGGGGAGCTGATCTTGGTCGTCTGGAGATCGATCATCATTCCGGGAGATCTCCAGTTGCTCCCTGGAGGTTGGCAGCCCCGGCCATGCCAGCCTATTCTAGGGAAGGCCTTTCGGGCATGCAAGTCGTATTAAGATACATTCAGTTCTGATGTGTCGAGGAACGTAAGAACATAAGAGAAGCCAACATTGGATCGGGCCAATGGCCCCATCCAGTCCAACGCTCTGTGTCACACAGTGGCCAAAAATACCAGGTGCCATCAGGAGGTCCACTAGTGGGACCAGAACTCCAGTAGCCCTCCCACGCTTGCCCCCCCATGCAACAAGAATACAGAGCATCAGTCCCCCAGACATGAGAACATAAGAGAAGCCATGTTGGATCAGGCCAATGACCCCATCCAGTCCAACAGTCTGTGTCACACAGTGGTCAAAACCCAGGAGCCATCAGGAGGTCCACCAGTGGGGACAGAACTCCAGAAGCCTTCCCAATGTTGCCCCCCAAGCACCAGGAATACAGAGCATCACTGCCCCAGACATGAGAACATAAGAGAAACCATGTTGTTTCAGGCCAATGGCCCACCCAGGCCAACACTCTGTGCCAGACAATGGCCAAAACCCAGGTGCCATAAGGAGGTCTACCAGCAGGGCCAGAATTCCAGAAACCCTCCCACTGTTGCCCCCCAAGCACCAAGAAGACAGAGCATCACTGCCCCAGACATGAGAACATAAGAGAAGCCATGTTGGATCAGGCCAAGGGCCCATCCAGTCCAACATTCTGTGTCACACAGTGGCCCAAACCCAGAGGCCATCAGGAGGTCCACCAGCGGGGCCAGAACTCCAGAAACCCTCCCACTGTTGCCCCCCAAGCACCAAGAATACAAAGCATCACTGCCCCAGAGATAAGAACATAAGAGAAGCCATGCTGGATCAGACCAATGGTCCATCCAGTCCAACACTCTGTGTCAGACACTGGCCAAAACCCAGGTGCCATCTTTATTTCTTTTCATTTGCTTAGTAACCTTAAATTTATTTATCTATTTATTTAACCTTCGATTTATTAAATCTGTAAGAGTCCTTTTTATCCGTTCACTTTTTGGCTTTCGAAAGAAAGAAAAAAGCTTTGATTCTTGAAGGCTTGCAGCCTGAAAGTCTGCCTGGTCTAGAAGGAGGAGGAGGAGGAGATTGGATTTATACCCTGCCCTTCACTTGGAGTCTCACTTGGAGTCCTTTCCCTTCCCCCTACCCACAACTAGCCAGGGTAATTGAGGGAAACCTCCACATTCAGAGGCACTAAGCTTCTGAATCCCAGAGCCAGGAGGCAACATCAGGGAAAGGCTTCAGCCTCCATGTCCTGGTGTTGGCCCTCCAGAGGAACTGGTTGGCCACTGTAAAAGACCAGAGGCTGGACTAGATGGACCACTGGTCTGATCCAGCAGGGCCCTTCTGATGTTCTTATGAAGGCCTCAGCCTCTAGGCCCTGTTGTTGGTCCTCCAGTGGAACTGGCTGGCCCCTGTGTGAGACAGGATGCTGGACTAGATGGACCGCTGGTCTGATCCAGCAGGGCTCTTCTCATGTTCTTATGAAGGCCTCAGCCTCTATGCCCTGTTGTTGGCCCTCCAGAGGAACTGGTTGGCCACTGTGTGAGACAGGATGCTGGACTAAATGGACCACTGGTCTGATCCAGTAGGGCTCTTCTGTAGTGGAGTGGTTAAATGCGCAGACTCTAATCTGGGAGAACCGGGTTTGATTCCCCACTCCCCCACTTGCACCTGGCTGGATGACCTCGGGCAAGCCGTAGCTCTGATAAGAGCTGTTCTTGAAAAATAGCATTTTCTGTCAGAGCTCTCTCAGACCCACCTACCTCACAGGGTAGGTGGAAAGAAGTTTGTAAGACACCTTTGGGTAGTGAAGGGTGGGGTATAAATCCAATCTCTTCTTCTTACGTTCTTACTCAACATGCTTCCCGCTATGTTTTCCTTAATTTGATTTTATGTTAACCCTACCTGCCTATCTGTCAACAGCTGAGAGTGATGAATTGCTCTTTGCTTGATTCTTGTTTTATGCTGGCCTCTCATTGGAATTTCTCCCTACCACCCCAACCCCCCTTTTATGTCACTTGAACTCTTAAAAATAAATTTAGCTGCTATGGATGACGAGACCAAGCCCTGTGAGGAGAAACTGGAGGACTTGGGAATGTTCAGTCTGGAGAAGAGGAGGCTGAGGGGGGACAGGATGGCTCCCTTGAAGTCTTTGAAGGGCTGTTGCTTGGAGGAGGGCAGGGAGCTGTTCCTGGTGGCAGCAGAGGAGAGGACTCGCAAGAAGGGGTTTAAATTAAGGGCGGGAAGGTGCCGGCTAGATCTTAGGGAAAGCTTTTTTTCCCAGTCAGAGTTGTGCAGCAGTGGAATCAGCTGCCTAGGGAGGTGGTGAGCTCCCCCTCCCTGGCAGTCTTGAAACCAGGCTTCCCAAGTACTTACCGTGATTCAGCAGGGGACACAGATGTCTTCGCAGGATCATTCCTGCGGGGACAACAGACGCGCCGCACCATGCCATCACCAGGAAGTGACGCCGGGTGACAGTCTGGCAATGAGGCTGGAAACTCGATGGTACCATTGAGTTTTCAGCCCCATTGCCAGAGTGTCGCCCAGCGTCACTTCTGTTGGAATAAGTATTCAGCATGTGTGATGTATATGTGTATTAGATCATGCCAATCTAGATGACAGGTGTCAGAGTGACTGTCAGTCCAGGTAACCAGACCAAACCGGTTCTGGCTGGTGCAATGCTGATCTGTAATCTGAGTGACTCAGCATGAATATGATTGGCTGTTCAATGTATATAGCTGTGTGTGATCTGTACACTGTGTGCTTATTCGTATGTTGACTGTCTGGCGAAGCACTTTGCCAGTGTGAGCTGTGAGCTGTAAATAAACTTCACTGTATATAGTTGACCACTAAGAACTGAGTCAGTGTGGTTTACTACAGTGGGACTTCAGCATGGTGCAATTGGATTATTGGTTTAAAAATGGTGACCTGGGGACGCCAGGAGCGCACTCCGCGACAACTTCCTGGCGACGGCATGGTGCGTTACAGGGAGGAATGGTCCGGCCGGGGAGTATGTTTCCCCCGCCGGATCGCGGTAAGTACTTGGGAACCCTACTTGAAGCAGCGGATGGACAAACCCTTGCCAGGGATGCACTAGGCTGATCCTGCATTGAGCAGGGGGTGGGACTCTAGATGGCGTCTATGGCCCCTTCCAACTCTGTGATTCTATGATTCTATGAACACTCCTTAAATCTGATTAATTGAGGTCTGATTCACAGGAGCGTCTGCTGGAATAAATCTTTCATCTTTCAGGGCTCCTGGACTCCTGTTTAATTTTGCTTCACCCACAGGAGCTTCAGCCCAACGCTCAGATCGTAGAATCATAGAATGTCAGAGTTGGAAGGGACGTTGCAGGTCATCTAGTCCAACCCCCTGCACTCTGCAAGAGCATAGCCGAAAGAGAGCCCGACAACATACCCGAAAGATGGTCGTCCAGCCTCCCCTTGAAAAAGCTGGGAAAGTGATTCACATCTGAGGAATGAAAGCCATCGGGGTATTCTCAGGAGCAAGAATGCCCCACCAAAAGGGTGGCATGCCGCCACAGCTCTTGGTAGTACTTACAGAAGCTCTTCCTAATTTCTGGCCATTTCGGGTTGAGAATGTACAACGACGGTCTGTCTGTTGCATGGAAAAGAGGAAGGCGGGAGATCAAATTGACATGTACCTTTGGAATCAGAGTGCCAAGGATGTTCACGTTCTCTGTGCACAGTTTGAAGAGCCCAAATAACTTGATGTTGCTGAGGCGCTGGACCTCGTTCAGCACGGCCCGGGTATAGGGCAATTGCTTCCGATCGGCATAGCAGACGACTTTGAAGGATTCAAGACCATTGTCCAGCTCGTCTTGCACTTTCGCTGGCAAAAAAACAAACACAAAGCATTGAGGTTCAGAGGTGGGAAAACAGAGGTGTTTGAGCAGGCCACTTCCCTCAAGCACCTCTCTGTTTCAGGACCCAAGTACACAATATGCCCAAAATGTGTCAGGTCACAGGTTTGCAATGGGACTCGCAGTCAGGCTTGCGCTGCACAGCTAGACTCGCAATCAGGGGACTCACCTGAAGCAGTGTTTGTACTGTCCCAGCAGGACATATAGCAAGCAGTCTGAGACCGATTCCCCACAAGCAGCTGTGCCGCCAGTTTGGTGTAGTGGTTAAGTGCATGGACTCTAATCTGGGAGAACCAGGTTTGATCCCCCACACCTCCACTTGCACCTGCTGGATGACCTTGGGCAAGCCATAATTCTGGCACAGCTGTTCTTGAAAAAGAGCAGTTTCTGTCAGAGCTCTCTCAGCCCACCTACCTCACAGGGTGTCTGTTGTGGGGAGGGGAAGGGAAAGGAGTTTGTAAGCAGCTCTGAGACTCCTTTGGGTAGTGAAGGGCAGGGTATAAATCCAATCTCTTCTTCTTCTTCTTTTACCTCACAGGGTGTCTGTTGTGGGGAGGGGAAGGGAAAGGAGTTTGTAAGCTGCTCTGAGAAACCTTCTGGTAGTGAAGGGCGGGGTATAAATCCAAAATCTTCTTCTTCTCTTCCATTTCCCCCAGTTGTATTGCTCAATTTCACACTATTCGCTGTGTGGTGGCATTTTGACCCGCATTTCCCCCTGATTTCTTCCTCGTCTTCTCGATCCTCAAAAAACAGGATCGAGAAGATGCGGGGAAAATTTTTTTGGGGGGGAGATGTGGGTCAAAATGCTACCACACAGTGAATAGTCCTGTTTAAGGTGAGTTCCATTGACACAGTTCGGTCTGCAAGTCCAGCCGCACACCTGTGACTCAGCACGTGTCAGGCATATTGTGCATTTGAGCCATCACTGGAGTTTTGTTCAGGTGCCACGCAGGGCTTGCCAGTCAGCGGACAGACTGGCATTTTAGCACACTTCAGTTCCACCGAACCTGAGGTATGTTGACATGCACCGAGGTTATCAAATGCTTTCATGAAAAGGATTGCAGATACAATCCTGTAGAGGATTCCACAATTAAAACAGAAAGACTACAGTTGCCCAGAACTGTTCACTCTCATGCACACCGTACTTTCCCGCCCTCGTGCCTTGGGGCGATTTTGTTTCACTAGTTTGTAGGTCTGCAAATCACATTTGGCAATCTTGATAGTAGGCCTCAGTCCCCAACCAGCTACAGCTACTCTTAGATGCAGGTCTCCTTATCTGGATACAGAAAACCTACAAGATCGGTTCCAGGGGAACTGTTCAGATGCATAATGTGGCAATGTCCTCTCTGCCATCCTCTTACTGCTTTTTATGGTTCTGTGATGGTCAGGAGGGAAGCCAGGGGTCATTTCCTGCCGCGGCACAGCTGCTTGTGGGGAATCGGCCTGTATTAGAGCAGGAAAGTAAGTCCTTTACCTTTAAAGTAATGCAGGATGGGAATTGTAGTTCGGTAACCTCTTCAGTCAGATGCTCTGTGATTGCCTTCCTTATTGGATATGCATAGGCTCCCTTTCTGGTAGTTAGCAAACCCGCCAAGGTTTTTATTACCTTTTTTCCGTGCTTTGTTAGAATCACTAGCGGCAACAGAGATGTACAGAATCATCTTCTTTTTCACCAGGTTATACAATGGACTCTAATAGCTAAAGATGAACTGTGTCAGTCATCCACTGGCTGGACCATGACTTAATTATCTCTGAATGCAGGGCTCTTTTTGTAGCAGGAACTCCTTTGCATATTAGGCGTCACACCCCTCATGTAGCCAAGACCTTACAGAGCTCTTCTTACAGGGGCCTACTGTAAGCTCTTGGAGGATTCTTAAAGTGTTTAAAATATATGCTGAATGTTTTAATATGGAATGTTGTTGCTTTAACTGGTTTTAAAATGGTGTTGAATGTTATGTTATTGTAAACCGCCCTGAGCCTCGCGTAAGCGGGGAAGGGTGGTTAAGAAATTGAAATAAATAAATGAATAAAGCTGTTTAGGCTCTCCATGAAAGGGAAAGGAACAAGCCATGAAGCCACTCCCAGACACAAAAGCCAGGGGTCATTTCGTAGAAAAAGAGGTGCAGGAGCTCATTAGCATAACTCATTAGCATAACTTATTTGCATATGCCACACCCCCTGACATCGCCAGAAGTGTGTCAGAAGGCAACACCCACCACTCAGGCTCCACTGGACTGTTTTGGATTGCTAGCTTTTGGGGGCGGGGGAACATGCAGATCTGTCTTCGCAGAGGAGGGAGAGCTTGTACCTGAATAAAACTTGGACTTAAAGGTGCCACTGGACTGTTTTGGACTGGGGGGACAGGGGGAGCTCTGCAACTACCTGGCTGCTTCTTGCTCTGACTGAGGGCTGCTGGGAGCAGGGGAGCTTGTTGCATGTGCCCGCCCCCTGGTCTCTTTACTGCCGGAGCTCCGCTCCTGTCCGCTCCTGCAAGTAATGACCCCTGACAAAAGCCATTCAAAAGGGAAAAAAGATTCCCTTACAGCCATCAACTATGAATCATACCCTTTGATGTATGTTAACTGCTGTCAAGTCGCTTCTGATTTCTGGCGACCCCATGAATTAACATCCTCCAACACATCCTATTGTTAACAGCCATGTTTAGGCCTTGCAAAATAAGGAATGTGTCTTTCCCTGTAGAGTCCATCCATCTCATGTTGGGGACTTCCTCTTTTCCGGCTGCCTTCCACTTCTCCTAGCATTATTGTCTTTTCCAGCGACTCTTGTCGTCTCATAATGTGACCAAAGGATCATAGCCTCCGTCTAGTCATTTTAGCTACTAGGGAGAGTTCAGGCTTGATTTGATCTTGAACTCACTATTTGTCTTTTCGGCAGCCCGTGGTATCTGTAAAACTCTCCTCCAACACTAGAGATGGGTACAAACTAGGAAAAGGCAGTTCGGTTCGTGGTTCGTGGCTGACCCGCGAACCGAACCACGAACCAAAACCAGGAGGTCTGTTCGCAAACTGAACTGTCTTGTGGGTTTGAGGCCACACAGACCCCGTTGAAACGGACCACACGCCCTTTAAACAGGGTTTGCAGAAAGTCCAAAAAACAGCTGAGTGACAGGGAACACCTTGCCGTTTTTCAGGCTGTCTTCTGCAATCCATTTAAACTTCAAAGGGACTGCACAAAGCAGCCCAAAACAGCTGAACAGCTGGAAATGCCTCCCCACCACTCAGCTGTTTTTGTGGCTTTCGCAGGGAACAGAAAGCAGGGGTTTAAAGGGACTGGGAATCCCTTTAAACACCTGCTTTCTGCCCCATACATGAACCACCGGGAACTGCCATGAGCTGCTTTAAAAGCTCATAGAAGATTGTGACAGTAGACCTGTCATGAACTTGTGTTCGTGAACCATGAGCAGGGCAAAATTTGTGACAAATTTTGCTTCTTGGTTCGGCTCGTGCCCATCCCTGTCCAACACTACATTTCAAATGAATCAAGCTTGATAGTCCTCAGTTAAAACCCCAGGATGCTGTTCCTTTCCACACCAGTAAAGCATAAGCATCCTTTGCATGTTCCAGACACACCCGTCTCACCTTGGATATCAGGATGAGCCACCATAAAAAGCAGTGCCCAAGATAGGGTGGCAGCTATGGCATCCGTGCCCGTAACAAAGAAGTCGGTGACACTTTGTACCAGGTTGGCGTCATCAAATGTAGAAGTGGAGTCCGTTTTCTCCTGTTGATCATAGTGAGAAACACAATATTACAACCCAAGATCACACAGCCAGTGCCAGTTGAACTGGATCCATTGACTCTTGCCCTCCAAAAGAATTATTTTTAAATCTTTGTTCATTTGCTGCGTGGCATATTCATGCTGCTTTTCAGGTGTCCAGAATTCTGTGTCCAGAGAATCCAGAATTCTGTGATTTGTAGACCAAGAACCAATTGGTACATTGTGACTGGAACTGCACGGATTCATCTGACATACGAGAGAAGTGCAGAACTGAAAGTTCCATTATATACTATACTGCAGGGGCGTCGAACTCATTTGTTATGAGGGCCGGATCTGACATAAATGAGACCTTGTTGGGCCGGGCCACGTGTGTCATAAAATGTAACGCCAGGTAGCAGAGATATAAACTTTATAAAGGACACAAACACAAAGGGTTTTTTTTTTATTAAAATAAAAACATGCTTAAAACATTAGCACTCTTCCAATATTTTCTTTATTTGACAGTGTCTGATAACTGACACCTCTTGCTCTGAATTACTGCATCAAAATGTCTGTGCTGTTACAATCCTGAGTGTGCTGTTCAGGTGTGTATCTGTAAGCTGCAAACCTATGATGACGCAGCAGCAGCAGAACTGGAAGAAGAAGCAGAAGACAGCCAGTTCCACTGCGGCCCTGATAGAAGCCCTCTGGGGGCCTGATCCGGCCCCCGGGCCGCATGTTTGACACCCCTGCTGTGATGCCACTATATAATCAATGGTGTGGCCTCATTTGGAAGACTGTGTACAGTTCTAGTCACCAGATCTCAAAATGGACATCACAGAACTGAAAAAAGTACAGAGGAGGGCAACCAGACCCGTTTCCGCAAAAATGCAAACATCCGCCTTAGCGTTCTTAAATAATCAAATTATGTAAAACTTTCTACCCCAGGAGTGGATCTGAACTTTGTGCCCTCTTGCCCTGTGGTTTCTGAATCCGCTGTCATGCAGAGATCAGTCGTAATTCTTGGAGATCTCCAGGCCCCGTCTAGAGGTTGGAAACCCTCCAGAGCATAATAACATCACATCATTTTCTTTTCCAGCTATACGTTATTGGCAATGCTCACAATTCTTCCGCTAGTGTGTCCTTTAGGCCCCCAGCAACTTCTGTTAGAGTTAGCATCCATCTTACCATGACCAGGTAGGGCTGCTAGGTTCTCCCCCCCCCCCATGGCCAGTTGTAAGGGATAAGGACTGAATGACCCTATAATTTGCTAAGCCCAGATGACAGGGTTATAAATTTGGCTTGGTGGTGGCAATTGCCGGCAGCTGCAAGACTCGTTATCTCAAGGGTGTGGCAGTCGCCCAGAAAGGGGGAAGAAGTTTTTTCCTTTCCTTTGGCTCTCGTTTGCACGGTGATTAACTTCGCAGGAAGGACCAGAGTATCTTCCGGGTTGATGTGATAAGTTGCCTCCGAAGATGGAACCGACTTCTGTTCTATACTGACTTGGCTACAGAACTTGCTATGCGGACTTGTCATGTACGAAGCCACCGCTTCCTTTTTATGAACTGCTAGCTCACCTTCACCCTCAAAAGTTTTATTGCTGGCTGCTCTGACCGTGGGATGATTTCTTCTGTACACACAGGGGTCATTTCCTGCGGGAGCGCACAGGAGAGGAGCTCCGGCAGTAAGGAGCCCAGGGGGCGGGCATATGCAACAAGCCCCACCCCCTGCTCCCAGCAGCCCTCAGTCAGAGCAAGAAGCAGCCAGGTAAGTGGCAGAGCCCCCTCCCCCTGGCCTGCCTTCAGGCACAAGCTCTCCCTTCTCTGTAAGGGCAGATCTGCGCATCCCCCCCCCCATAGCTAGCAATCCAAAACAGTCCAGTGGCACCTTTAAGACCAAGTTTTATTCAGGCACAAGCTCTCCCTCCTCTGCGAGGACAGATCTGCACGGCCCCCCCCCAATAGCTAGCAATCCAAAACAGTCCAGTGGAGCCTGAGCGGTGGGTGTTGCCTTCTGACACACTTCCGGTGAGGTCAGGGGGTGTGGCATATGCAAATAAGTTATGCTAATAAGTTATGCTAATGAGCTCCTGCACCTCTTTTCTTACGAAATGACCCCTGTGTGCACACATCCTGTGAGTTCAAAGGCTTTGTTGCTCAATTAAATGAATAGTTTTAAGAATATTTTGGCGGCGGCTGAGAGCTTCTGTCTGCTGTCGAGTTGTTACTTTGCCCACTGAGACGAACCCCAAGATCAGTTGGACCTGATGGGGGGCGTATGGTTGCCAGATCCAGGTTGGGAAACTCCTGGAGATTTGGGGGATGGAGCCTGGGGAGGGCAGGGACCTCTGTGAGGTGCAATGCCATAGAGCCCCCCTACAGAGCATCCATTTCCTCCGGGGAAACGGTAGTCTGGAGATGATCTGTCATTCTAGAGGATGTCCAGGGCCCGCCTGGAGGCTGGCAACGCTACAGCCATGAAAAGCAGCCAAACGGGAACCAGATACGCATACTACAAAAACAGAAACTTACCGTTTTCATATGAGCCAAATAGTAATCGATAAAACCGCGGCGCTCATGGGGAGGCCCGTTGTTCTTGTGGTTTTCCACCTCCTTCCTGACAAAGGAGCGTATAAATTCGCAGGAGGAGATCGCTGTCTGGTGAGGCCCAGGGAGGTATCTCATAATCGTCGGAGCTATGTTATATAACTGCAGGGAGGACAAAAGAAAATGTATCGGAACTGCAGAGCTTTGGCAATCGAATCCGGAGGCATCACTGAGCAGGCCCATCGCTACGGTGGGGCTTTGGGGGGAACACAGCCCCCTTTCTTAAAGGCACAGCCCCACAAGAACTTCTCCTATAAATGCTTTTTTTCAATCATTTAAAAACATTTTTTTAAAAAAAGGTGTGCACTCCTTTAAGCAGAGTGGGGTGATGTAGCTGACTAATTCTTGCAATGAGCAAGGGGGTTGGAGTAGGTGACCTCTGGGATCCCTTCTAACTCTGTGTCAAGAAACTGGCCTCCTTTAAGAGAGTTTTTCTGCCTGTTAGCTTTCTGGACTATAGGAGTCATCACCCCCACCTGCCCGGTTGTTCTCAGCATTGTTGCTTAGGCTAGCAGAAGTGATTAACTTGCAGCAGCTGAGAACTATCATCTAAAGTGGTTGACAGCTTGCAATTTAGAGCTCTCTCTTGTTAAGCGCTCCCTTTTGGCTAAATGGCTTTTCTTTCTGCACTGAGAAC